AATTTCTGATTGTTTGTTTATGAACTCTGGGTTAATTCGAGGATAAAAATAACTCCTGTGTAAACAAACAAATGGTTGACGATAAAAATGTACGCGACTTGAAGGAGAAGTCACACGAGATCGAAGTGATCCATCACAAATGACAGAAAATAACATCAGCAGTAATGAAGTTCAATTGGACAGAGAATCTGCAGAGTTCAAGGACTTCGGAAGATTCAAAATTGAAAATAAAACATATGGGGCCCAATATCGTAACATTTACACAGCTAGACTGAAAAAATTGCAGTCAATATTGAAGGAGAGGGTGAAATTAAAATGGGGTAATTACAACATCTGTCTGTCATCTGTAATTTTCTCTGAGTTAATTATTTAAATCATTGAGATTTTTGAGGTTCCTCTTCTCCTAGGGAATCACAAAATCCTCCAGCTGACGAATCTCTCAGACATCACAGAAACCGACGATGCCGTCATCCTCATAGGTACATTATACAAGCACCAGGAGTTCAAGCCGTCGATCCTCAAAGAAATGAGTGAAGAGCTCCAATTGGTTCCTCAACCGACTAGATCGAACTACAGCTCCATCAAGGATCAATTATTCCTGGAGGACGAGACACTGCGAGTGAGACTGGTTGGTGATCATATGGATGTAGGTGAAATTGTCACAGGTCTTGTCTGCGCCGTCCTGGGGCGTGAGCTGGAGAACGGCTGCTTCTGGGTGCAGGACTTCTGCTTCCCTGGGATGTGCCCCAGGGTGTCAACATCGAGATCGTTGTCCAGCCATCCGGGAAGAGTTCTGCTGATTTCAGGACTGGACATGGCAAACACTCCGGATTCCCTGGAGCTGGAGCTGCTGACGGAGTGGATCACTGGAATGGCTGGGAATCCTCAAGCCCAGAGGAGTTCAGCCACTGTTTGTCTCGTCATAATCGCCGGAAATAGTGTCAGAGGGTCTGTCGAGACTTACCCACATAGGGGATACTCTGGGGCAAGAAACCAGAGGACAACAGCTGCTGTGGAGACCATCCTGGCGACTCACAGGTTCGACAAAACCAAAAGTTATCACTCAAACTGAATTTAATTACCATTTTCGGGGGATATCCCTGAATCTAAGAGAGATGGCGAATTTTTTGTTGATACCTTTTTTGGAGATCTCGTTCTATTCTATAAAAAAGGTATTGACAAAAATTTCGATATCTTTTGTGGATCTCGAGATATTTAAGGTTCTAATACCAATATTTTCTCTTTCAAATAGATTCGATAAATTTCTCAGACAAATTGTGGAAAATTGTCGAGTGCTGCTGATGCCTGGGGAGTTCGATCCCTCGAATCATTCGATACCTCAGCAGAGTTTACATCATTGTATTCTGCCTGAGTCCTCAAGGTGAGACAATTAATTTAAAAAATGAAGAAATTCATTCGACGGAGTTACGATAATGGCAATATTTTTATAATTTTCTCTGCCAGATTAAAAACTCTTCACTGTGGCACAAATCCTTGGATCGGAAAACTAGGTGATAGAATCGTCGCTGGATCGAGTGGACAGCCTGTCGATGATATAAAAAGGGTGACAGGTCTCATGAATTTTTCACCGCTCGACTGCCTGGAGAAAACTTTAACATGGAGACATTTTTCTCCCACTGCTCCAGATACCCTACCAGCATATCCGTACTTTGATACCGATCCATTCATTATGGAAGAGTCTCCCGATATTTATTTTGTTGGGAACATGAAAGAATACTCCACAAAACTTTTAATTGGTAAGAGATGAGTCGATTTTCCTTTTCCCTGTCAGATAATCACTCTTTAAATTCCAAAACTCGACAGAGTGAAATTAAATAAAATTTCAATAAATGCACGACAATTTTCAAAAAAAAATAGATGCAGCTGTAATTTTTAACGAAAAAATCGGTTTTTATTCTTTCAATTTTCCAGGAGAGGAAGGACAATCCGTCAGACTCATCAGCATCCCGAAATTCTCGAAGACTTCCACAGGAGTAATCGTCGACCTTGACACCTTGGAGACTGAACAAATATTCTTCGGTAATGAGCGAGAATAAATGGTGACAACCGAATTTTTCATTAATTTTTTTTATTCTTTTTATTTCGTTGAATAGTTTTCAATATATAATTTATTTATACCCTTTCAATAGATCCATATTTATATATATAATATATATTTCTGTATATAGATATTTATATCAATAAATATTATTTCTTTTAATGGATTAATCCATCGTCGACACTAGTTACCCAATGGATTAATTGATCTCCGCTGTTTGAAGTTATCGGATAATTATCGCCAAGTGATTGTAAACTACAATTTAAGAATGGAAAAGCAGTAGCAGACTAGATCAGTTTTTCTCGTTACACAGGAATTTTCCTGGTTAATTGATTATTAAATTTATTTTCCCCAGGAATTCTCTGATTCACAATCCAATTAATGAGTAACCATCAATAATCATCAATAAACCATTAAAATAAATTGTCATCTCCTAAAATAGATCCATCGATCGATTAATTTCTGGAAATAAATGCAAAAAATTACTGAAACGATAATTCCCTGGGAAAATAAAAATAATTCAAGAACCCATTGTTCCATTAAAGCATGCGTATTAAATGCACAATACCGGTATCGACATCACAAATCACTCGTCATACAAAATATCATCTCCCCAAGTAGAATCCCTTATTCTGATAATACTGGCACAAACATTCTCTCATTTGGCACATCGTAAACACCCATATTGGCCATAAATCCTGCAATTTATCATCGCTTAGCAGACAGTGAGAACAGCTGAAGAAAATACATTCCCAAGGCAAATCCCCTCGAGTCAAATATCCAGATTGAATCCACCCCCATAATGACCATTACCCCACCCCCGAAGAAATATAACCGACTTGATTTACCCTAAAAAATTCTAATCAATTCCCTCGAGTTTATTTTTTAGCAGAACTGAAAGAAGATACTGAACCGAGAAAATTCTTCGTTGAATGAACTTTCGTGAATTTATCCAGCATCATCAACCCCTGGAGATGATCTTGGAGATGATCTTGGAGATGATCTTGGAGATGATCTTGGAAATGATCTTAGAGATGATCTTAGAGATGATCCCCTGGAGATCACCCCCTCATGATCAACCGAGTGTTACTTCAGAGACGATCAGATCTTCTGGAGCTGTCGCTCCACGTGGAATTGTGATTTTCCTCTGAGCTATGAATCTCTGGTGTCGACGACCTCGACGAATTCGGAGTATTTATATTGAGGCAATTATTTAAATCCGATGCTTCCCTGTTGATGTCTGACGTCTGTCCCTCCTGGTCATCACTCCTCATAGCGCAGATGACATCTGTCAATGCGACGATGTAATTCTTGGCTAGTGTCAGGGTTTCGATCTTGGATAGACGTCTCTCTTTGCTCACGTGGGGAATGACCTCTCGGAGGCTCTGGAAAAATTCCAGGAATATAGGAATATAGGTACGTTGGGGAAATAATTAATCGGATTGGGTGAGCTATTGGAAAAGCAATATCTTGATTATAGTTTTTTTTTTTTCTTCTTTTTGTACCTGGAAAGCGTTATTCAGACTGTGCATTCTCATTCTCTCTCGCTCGTTACTCTCCAGTCTCCTGAGGGTTTTCTCCCTTGGTGTACTCACACGAGATGATTTTGAACATCTCAGGTTGTGTCTCTCGATGCGACGGGCTGTTCTCCGAGGAGTTTTACTCGAATTACCTTCCTTGGAGCTCCATTCTTCTGTCAGGCTGTCTTCATTCGTCACCTCGGAGCGCATTTTTTACGCTAAATAATTATCATTGTTATTATAATTGTTAAGGTTGTGGTTATCTTTTCATCGACTTTCTGGGATTTTCCAGAGTTCAAGAGCAACTGGAGACCTTTTGAATGAATATCTCTGTAATTAAATGGTGAAGGGTAACTAGTCGACTTGTTCCCTTCTCCTTTTATCCGGGAATATCTCGGAATCTCGGGCAGATAGCGTGATTTTCCTTTGAACCTTTTTTTTAAAGCGCAATGAGACCTGCAAAAAAGGTCATTACTAAAATTTCGCTATCTCTTTTAGATTGTGAGATATTCCCCGGGAAATTGACTTGTAATTGAATCGACTTGTCGTCCTTGACCAGTTTATTAGAGATTTGTTGTACCGGATTTAAATGACGGGCTTTGATACATTTGGAGATTGTTTTTAATTCCAGAAACTTTCTAGGGGACTTAACTCTATTTTAAATGATTTTGGGAGGAATTCAAATAGGAATTAAATATTTTAGCGGGAATTTATGATGAATTTGATAAAAAAAATAATTCGTACAGTTTAATTTTAAAATTCTGAAACATCAGAATTAAATCTCAACCCCTGGGATCTATAAAACCTTCATATCTCTTAATCCACTTCATTTACGAGGTACTTTACCCGCAAACTACCGCAGAAAATCCAATTTGCAAATATTCCAATGTGTAAAACACGTTGTGACAGTAATAATTCCCCAATTACCCGATTACCCATTTGAAAATTCCATTTAACGAATAAAAAAAGTTAAACAATCCCTTAATTAATGAACACCTTAACATGCATTAAATCATAATTAATAAATCCGTAGAAATAATCTCGCGAATTTCCCAATCATTCAAAAATTCGATTCCCATAATTCGATTCCCAAATTGTAAATAAATATTCAAATAATCTCTCTCCACACATAATCCCGCAATAAACAAACAATTGTTTAACATGCCTAAAATTATTCTTAATTAATAAAAAAAACTGCAATAATCCGGGAAAAATCGTTTGATTTTCCATGAAAAAATGATAAAAAAAAAAACTTTTAATTAATTTATCTATCTCTCTGTCCTGCGATAATTAAGAGCACCTGTTTGACCTGCATTAATTAATAATTATTAATAAAAAACTCACCAAATTTATCGTAAAAATAATCCCCTGGTTCGTTCACTTGGAGTAGCCAAATAAAAATACCGGGAAAAAGGGGAAAAAAAAGGGAGTTACAGTTGGTTTATACCATAAACCCAATGCTGGAGAAGTGGATACTTGTTGAGCCACGTTATAACGACGACTGACGTCGCGACGCCGGGGTGCGGTCGGCGCCGCCTTTTCCCACCCCCTGGACAATTTCGAAATCCAACCAGTGGCGCTTTTCAACTCGAGTTACGCCACAAATTTCCATTTTCCTACCCCTCGTTGCTATGAAAAATCTTTAGCTCAACGGTATTCATTAGCATTTGATCTTAGCCACCCCTGCATGTCAACTACATCAAGTGATAAATAGACTGGATAAAAAGAGGAATGAGATTACAACTCATAAAGATATACATCCAATTTTTTATATCAATATAAATTTTTTATATCAATATTTATCGATATTTATTTATCAATTTCAAATATTTTGCTTTTATCAGTCATTATTTCATCACCAAAGGCTCCACTGACTCCAGATCTATCAGAATTTTGTGGATTCCCTGGATTATTTGATCTATTGAATTATTTTATTCGATTTTATTATTTTGTCGATTGATTTTCCTGCGGAAATCGTGTGAGAATGATTTTTAATTTGTAAGTCATTCATTTAATTAATAAGATCTAGCCGAATAATTCGAGGGGAATTGTGGGGGAGGGGGGAGGTCCATTTGAGGATCAAATTTCCGTCGATTGATCGGAATTGTTAACAATTCAGTGGTGAAAGGGCGCGACAGGATGAGTCACTTGAGGGTGAATTTTCTTTGATCGAATATTTCTGCATGATAGTAGAAATTTAATAGAAAACCCCAGCGAATTCGATTTTCATGAGCGACTCGCTCTATTGATAGATTTCCTATTGAATCTTCATTTTAATCTAATCCCCTATCAAGCAATAAAAATAATAATATAAAAAAACTCTAGTCTCCATTTTTTTAAAGCTAAAGAAGTTCAAATTATTGGAGTCCAGTTTTCATCAAATATCTCGAAACCGAAAGAAGCTAGCGGAATTTTCATGGATACCTTTTCCCTAGAGAAAAACGAGATCTAAAAAAAAGGTATGAACAAAAATATCGCTATCTCCCCTCAATTCCGAGATAATCCCGAAAAACTGAGGATTTTTAATTCAGGAGTGGATTTGGGGGAATATTTGGTTCTGGGGATTTTTATCGGGTTAAAATCAATTGTGTTAAATAATAAATGATTAATAGGGATTGAATGATGGAGATATTGATGGAGCACCCGTTATATTGTTTCAGCACAGCCGGAGTTGAATGCGTGAGTTCAATGTTGGCTACAGGTGGGCGTATGACGTAATTCGCCCACGCGGAGACCCTTCCATTATCGTTGGCCACCAACCGTGTGCCGCTGCACCAGGGGGTGTCACCAGAGATGGTGATAAAAAGAGAGAAAAAAAAAAGATGCAGGGGATGAGAACAAAAAAAAAGCCGGACGAGAGGAGAAATGACTAGAGCATGTGCTCTGGTTTTTAATGGCCAACAACGAAACAAGAAACGAATTCTCTGTCACTTCATCTCCAGTCATGATTCCCCAGATGTAAAGTAAGGATCAGATAATTTCAATGACAATAACTGGATTTTAATACAAAAGAAATGGGAATTTTTATTCCCATCGTTGAATATAAATATATAATCAGCACAAATCTTGAATTTCAATTTCTATCAACAAATAGCAGATGCTCTAGTTTTTATTTATCAGTAATTATTTATTTATTATTTATCTTGAGGATTTTAGTTGAGGGATTTGCTTTCATTTTTTTGGTATTGATTTTCGAGAGTTTAAAGGAAAAATTCAAGAGATTCTCGGGAAATGGATGAACGAGATGAGAGAAATGTGTTATTTTGTTTCATTACTCCTGATGGTAGGGGAATTTTGCTCTGGGAATTAATGGGGATGGGTGGGTGGCGAGGGGGTGGATTGAGGGGAGGGGCGGATGTGTTATGATGGGTCTTTCATCGTGTGTTCGAGGCGTGAGGCTTCAGAGAGTAATTCGAATACTAATTAGTCGAAGGTGATGTGGGTGGATCGTTGGAATCGTGTGAAGTCACTAAAAAAAATTATCCAAAACAAACAATTAAATATAACAACAAATTAAAATTAAATCCTCAACATCAAAGGATTTCAATTTCAAAGAATTATGATTCTTATGAATTTTTAAAAGGCTCATGCATTTTTCATGGAATTCAAGCAATTGGAAATTTTTTTTTGTAGGAAATTCTCTCTGGGAATTTTCCAGGTTTATCACCGGGAAATCGATTTTTCCGACTGTATAAATTGTCATCCTCTCAGGATTTTCATACGTCAATAACACATTTACCGAGTGTATGGCCCACTGGGCAGAAATGATTCAAGTTTCTTACATAAATTTAATATTTTCCAGACTCTAACTCGTAATGGGAAAATGTCACATTAAAAACAAGCGGATTCTCTTTATTTTCTCGAGACGTGGAATGTTTTTTATAAATTTATAACGATGCGGTTGTTTGCTGCCCTAGAAATTCCAGCGATCGGAAATTTCAATCAAATAACAATTTCCTGTGGAGCTACCGCAACTCCTGCATTGAATAAAATTACCAGAAATTCCCAGAAATTACTAGAATTCCTGTCAAATTTCCAGACATTAATAAAAATGACTTTCCCAATTTTCTCCAATAGACACATTCGCCATAAACTAAATTATTATTAAATTATTACACTTAAAAAAATTACGAATCCTCATTTTTCTCTAAAATTTATTCCAGACTTTATATTTATTTAACCCATAATTCGCAGACAACTCCAATTATTTATTAATTAATTAATAAAAATTGAGGATTAACAAAAGGGATTGAAGAACTGAAACTATCGGATAAATATTGTTCTCAGTTAAAGATTCGATATTTTATTTTTCTGAATTGACAAATTTCTTAAAAAATGCCGAAAGAAAAATTTATTTATTCTTACATTTACCACAACACGCGTCACTCTGCTTCTCCAGATCATTGGGCTTGTGATTGGGTGTCCATGGACCGAGAGAGGCTGACGAGTAAAAATCCATGGGGTACGGTTTATCTCGATCGTATTTCGATAGATTCAGTGACACTGCCCCCTCATACGTCGTGAGAAATGGTTTCTGGAAGGCTGTACCCCAATCTATACTCAGCCTCGGACATGCGATCTGAACACGAGAATATAAATCATAAAAAATAATTATTTATCCAAAATAAAAAACCTTTACCCTAAATTTTGGGAGATCATTACCTGAATGAACGAATCCACATGATCAAACATGGAAATTTTATCCGGAAATATTTCAGACAGGAGAATATTGACGTTCCTCTTCCCCAGGGATTGAATTCTCCTCTCCAATACGTTCAATACCGCAGGGTTTCCCTGTCTTCCAAGAGTTCCAAGGACCAATCCAATGGTCTGTGAATTTTTCGCTCTCTCTATGGCATCCCCTCGGACTGTTCTCATCAGCTCGTGATCGTAGAATTCCTCAGTGAGTTTTTTATCGTACGGATCGTACCTGAAGGCCCTCAGACTTGGATTCGCTATCATGGCAGCCTCCAGGTGAAATCTCCCATCGCCGACGTAAATGAGGGCATCAGCACAACGAATTTGTGGAGCTGTGCAGCCTAGAATCTTGATAAAAAAAAATTCAAAGATCAAACTGACATCAATTAAATTACAATTATTATTATTAATTACCTCTCCAGGACTCAAGGGCTTGCTCTGGGGTACTGTTGTCTCGTACCCGGCGCTTCTCATCTCTCTGGCAATAGCTTGGAGGGTTCCTGCGAATTGAATTGTACTGACGAGTGCTATTTTCGTGATCACTGGGAGTGTTGCTTGCAAGCAGTCGATGCAGTGGGCTGTATCGATTTTAATATCAACAAATATGTAGAGGACTTTGATCCCAGTCGTCTGATCTATCGGGATCAAGCAGGAGTGGCCGTAGTGGATCAGGAGATCAATATTCAGGGCTCGAGCTGAATAATCGTCCACACAGCAAGCACCTGGAATTTAATAATAATTCATCAAGAGATCAACAATAAACTAGTAATTATTTCTCATTTTTCACAAATTTAGAGATTTTTCAAATATTTACATATTTATAAATTTATAAATAATTTATAAATATGTAAATATAGTGTCAAATAATTTTTACACTAGATTGTTAATTAATTGTTATTATTACTACTCTCTTTTATTTATTATTCTCAAATTTATGGTATCTATGGAGGATTATTGTTGAAATTAGAATTTAGGGGATGATTTAAGGTTTTTAAATAAATAAATGAGGATTTATTTACCATAAGTGACGTCACCCATTATGACAGTCTCGGTATCAGTAAAATCTTCGATAATATCTGCAATAGTTGTTGCATAAAGCAGAAGTCCCTCAGGCATTTGTAGAGCAACTCTTTTGGCTTTTGTCTCCCTGATTCTCCAGATTGTCTTGTGAATTTCGAAATTGTAGTTTTCGGGGAGTGCAGCTATTGCTGCATTCAGGAGAGGATCGTTAAGCAGATCCTGGGGGATTTTGTTGACCCTGACTGGAGCCTTGAAGATCTTCCTCAAGGGTTTTGCCTTCACCACGACTACAGAACTCTCATCGGTGCTCATTGTCCCTTCAAATTACAACTGGTTATTCTAAAAATATAGTAAATTATTACAAAACATGTGGAGATTTTATTATTAAAATTTATTGGTGCTTTAATTACGTGATTGTCTTTTCAATTGCGGGGATTAGACACTCGCTGCTGACGAGGAAACCGTGGATAATTATTATTGGTACAGAAAAATCAGATTGCCAGTAGTTTTTCTATTGTTTATTTACGATAAAATCATCTGACGTTGAATAGAAAGAGGAGGGACTAAAGTAGAGGCTCAGTTTTGGGGGTTGGAGTGACCCCAGTGGCATCGTAGTACTGCACCCCAAGAGAGGGAGGGCGCCACACGCTATGCTGGGGTGTCCATCAAGTCGATGGGGTGAATTTTATTTTTTGCGGGATGAATGCTGTTTGTTTTTTATTTGTTTAACTGAAATTTAACCGGCTGTAGAACGAGCGGAAGGGGGAAGCCACGTCTTGTGGAATTTCAATGGAAAAAATTATTCAATATATTGAAGATATACCACTAATGAAATTAGTTTTTCAGAATGAGCGCGTTGTCTACATGGTAACGTGCTTGCCTACCACGCCGACGGCCCGGGTTCGATCCCGCCGTCATTCATTTTTTTTTTCAAATAATTCCAATTTTTTGTTTTCTAACTGGCTAATAAATCGAAATATTGGTTAAAAACTGAATAGCTCCTCGATTGTCATGTTCCCCTGATACTTTTACAAAAATTTCGAATTTTTCACTTTCAGTGAAAATTTCAGTGAATAGCTCCTCG